ACACACACACACACACCCCAACACCACCACCAACAAGACAAAACTGATGTTCCTGCTTATCATCCAGGAAGCAAAAGTAGGGGAAAATCCCCTGGGCTTGCTGGCATTTGTAATGCGTTCAGGGTCAGGGAGAGACCCTGTCTCCAAAAACACAAGAGCGGGGTTGGTGTTGAGACTGGAGAGGCTGCTGAGCAGTTACCCGGGGGACCCAAGTTTGGTGGTTCCCATGTGGGATGGCTCACAACCTCCAAGGGATCTGACACCCTCTTCTGGCTTTTACAGGCACTTGCACCTCCCTCCCTCCCTCCCTCCCTCCCTCCCTCTCTCTCTCTCTCTCTCTCTCTCTCTCTCTCTCTCTCTCTCTCTCTCACACACACACACACACACACACACACACACACACATGCACGCATGCACACACACGCTTTTTTAAAGGCAGAACAATAACAAAGACCAAACAAACAAAGAAAAAACAAAACAAAACAAACAACAACAACAACAAAAACAAGACAAAAACCACAGGCAGAAGCCAGGCATGGTGGCCACCACTTTAATGCTAGCACTTGGGAGACAGAGGGAGAGGCAATAGGTCTCTGTGAGTTTCAGGCCAACCAGGGCTACATGGTACAACCCTGTCTCAAAAAAAAAAAAAAAAAAAAAAAAAAAACCAACAATGAAACAATCAAGCATAGTAACACATGCTTTTAATCCCAGAGCTCAGGACACAAAGGCAGATGGGTCTCTATGAGTTTGAGGCCAGCCTGGTCTACATAGCCAGTTCTAGGCCAGCCAGAGCTACATAGTGAGAGCCTGTCTCAGGATAAATGAATAAATATAAGTAACCAAATCCGAGGTGGATGAGTGTACATGTGTACACAGTCACATGCACCCCCATGTGACACACTCAAACATACAGGAGAGAGGAAGGGAGGGAGAAAGACAGACAGACAGGAGAGGAAAGGAGAGGGCAGTGGAAAGGAGAGGAGAGAGGAGGGGAGAGGGTATCACTTGTTCTTGGAAGGAGGGGTGAGGCCATACTGTTTTCCCCGCCCTTTACATCTAGTTGAGTTTGAGGGGTTAGGGTTCCATCACCACCCTCCCCTCCCTGACAGTCTGTCGTTCCTGCAGTGACTGCCTTTGAGCACAAGGGCACAGCTCTGCAAGTAGCAGATCATGCCTCTTCTAAGACTCAAGTCCTGACTGGTTCCAGGACAGCTTCCTCCCCACCCTTGTCCCTTCAGGTCAAATGACAGAAACAGAGCTTGGAGAGATGGCTCAGTGGTTTGGACCACTTGTTCATGCAGAGAATCTGGATTCAATTCTCAGCAACCACATGACAGCTCACAACCATCTGTAGCTAATTTATGAGATCCAATGGCCTCTTCCAGCTTCTGTGGGAATCTAATACAGAGATGCTGTATTAGATATATAAAGCTGTTGGCCAGTTACTATTGTTTCTTATTGGCTAGCTCTGTCTTAAATGTTAACTCATTTCTATTAATCTAAGTGTTTCCACATGGTCTTATCGGAGAGAGAGTCCGGACCTCTTCCTCTCAAGTCTCTACATCATGACTCTCCTCTCTACTACATCTCCCAGAATCCTCCTTTTCTCCTAGCCCCACCTATCTTGCCTTCCTATTTGCCAACAGTGCTTTATTGATTAACCAATAAGAGAAACATATTTACAGAATGACATTTCCCATCACATACATGCAAGCAAAACACTCATACATATTAAAGTAATCTAAAGTGAATTTTAAAATGAGATAGGGACAGCTTTCAATATTCCCTGGTTCATGTACATGCGTGTATGTGTGCAGGTGTGAATACACATGAATGTGGATAGCAGAGGACAACCTTAGTCATTGTTCCTTGGGTACCTTCCACATTCTGAGACAGGGCCTTTCACTGGCCTGGGACTCACCTAGCAGATTAGGCTAACTGGCAAACTATCTTAGTCCACCTGCCTGTACATCCCTGGGGCTGGAATTACAGGTGCATACCACCATACCTGGATTTTTATGTGGGTTCAAGGAATTGAACTCTGATCTTCATGCTTGCAAGGCAAGTATACTACCAACTGAGGCCTTTCCCCAGCCCTGATTTCTTTCATTCTATAAGTTGGACAGATACTGCCCACTACTCAGTGCCCAAATGGGCTTCTGCATTCTTTCCCACCAGAATGCAATTTATAGACTACCTCCTTCTAATACAAATATAGTCCCAAGCCAACCCTCCCATCATTCTGGTGCTCTCAAGTCCCTCTCCCAACATTCCTGCCACATCACTGCCTCTCTTCCCATACTCTCTTGGCACAAGCTTACTCATGACTCCCTAAGAGGTAGAACTTTCTCCTCTAGATCCTCACCAGCTGTCCTGCCTAGTCTCATGTCAGCCTGACACAAGCTAGAGATATCTGAAAGGCGGGACCTCAATTGAGAAAATGCCTCCATAAGATCCAACTGTAGGGCATTTTCTTAATTTGTGATTGATGGGGGAGGACCCAGTTCATAGTGGGTGGGGCTACTTGTCTGATTTCTATTAGAAGACAGGCTGAGCAAGCCAGTAAACAGCACTCTACCATGGCCTCTGTACCAGCTATTGCCTCCAGGCTCCTGGCTTTTTTCAATGATGGACTACAATGTGGAAGTGTAAGCCAAATAAACCCATTCCTCTCCACCTTGGTTTTGGACATGGTGTTCCATCACAGCAATAGGAACCCTGATTAAGACACTGGCCTACTGGTGACACTGCTCCCTTGGCCCTTCACTTTCATCTAGGCTGAGTAACTTGTGGCACAGCAAAGGTCTTCAGTGGCTCCCTGCTGCTTGCAAATGCTCACTCCCTCTTTCGTGTCTCTATTGAGTGTAAATTTTTACCCAAAGTTTCTAATTTAAAAGAAATCACTGGCAGTTTCGAAATAAATAACTCCTCTTTCGGTGATGTCCCAGTAGACAAAGCTGATCAAGTGTGTGCATCACCAGAATTGGGATCCTATGCTAGGCGAGTGTGGTTGCCTGCCTGGAAATCCAATCTCAGAAGCGACAGACAGGGTGTATTCAGAGCAAACCGACTAGTGCAGATAGGTAGGGTTTCAATTGGTGTGAAGAGACACCATGACCACTGCAGCTCTTATAAAGGAAGACATTTCACTGAGGTGGCTCATTTATAGTTCAGAGGTTTAGTCCATTGTCATCATGGCGGGAAGCAAGACAGCATGCAGGCAGACATTGTTCTAGAGAAGGGGCTGAGAGTTCTTAAACATCTTGACTCACAGGCAACAGGATGTGGTCTGAGACAATGGGAAGTACCTTGAGCATATAAGAGACTCAAAGCTCACTTCCACAGTGACACACTTCCTCCAGTGAGATCACACTTACTCCAACATGGCCACACATGTTGCTATAAGCTCTGGGTTTAATAAGACCCTTCCTTGACGGATAAGATGCAAGAGAGACAGAAAATGATTGCTGACATCAGGTCTCCATGTACATGGGTGCATGCACATGCATGTATGCACTCACACGTGCGCGCACTCACACGTGCGTGCGTGCGCACACACACACACACACACACTGTGCCACTCACCTACAAACAGAATTTCTTTTGTTGTGGGAGGCTGGAGGATCTGTGGGTCATGGACACACAGGTGTGTATGCTTATAATCTGAGCATTAAAAAGATTTAAAAGGCTGGGGAAAGACTGTTGGGAGTTCAAGGCCAGCCTAGACTACTTAGTGAAACACTGTCTTTTTTTTTTTTTTTTTTTTTTTTTTTTAAGAGATCCTCTGGTGAGATAGTTTAGTGGGTAAACTGCTACTAAACCTGACCACACTAGTCAGATCCCTGGGCCCCATAAGGTAGAAAACAGATTTCTATTTGCTTTCTGACCTCCACAAGTGCACTGTGAGCATGAGCACACAAGCATTGCCCAATACGAGTGAGACCCTAGGTTCGACTGCATAGTTAGATGGATACAGTCATAAAATTGTTAAACGCTTAACGGTGTCATTTGTTCTGTTACTGGAGACCGAGCAACTTTTTCTTTGCCGGGGAGCACGTGTGCGTGTGTGCCCTTGGCTGAAATCAAAGCAGGATGAGAGGGGTGGACCCTACCATAGATAAACAAGAAGCAGCTGTGGGGATTTCTACCAACAGGTAAGGTGGGGGATGATGGGAAGTCTGGAAAGCTCCGAGGAGGGTAGCCGCAGTCACAGTCCAGTACTTGGGCACCGGGTCTACAATCTTCCAGAATGGGCAGAGATTGGATGTGTCGGAAGGAGGACCACTGAGCCCTCGTCTTAGGACCACACTGATGTGGAGTTTCCCCGCGTGCCAGGTGAGAGTTGTGCAGCCAAGCTTCCCTTGATCTGCCTTTCCATGCCCTCGAGCACTCATTTGAACAACACGAACTACAGGAAGCGCTAGCTGGACCACTGCTCTTATTGCTCCAATTCCCACAGCAGCCGAGGGCCCAGGAGATGGAGTAGGGTGGAGTCAGCAAGGGCCGGTCCGGGGCGGCCAGGCCCCGCCCCATGATGATGACGGACAAGCCTGCAGACCAATCACGATGCTTTTGTGGTTCTGCGGCGATGAGAAGGAGGAGCGACGGATGTAGGGTGCAACCAGTGAAAGGAAGGTTAGGGCCACTTGCCAGGTCCAGCCCTGCTATAATGACAAACAAGTCTTCACACCAATCACAGTGTATCTACAGCCTTCAGGGCCCCGGGAGGTGGTGCACCAGATAGGGGCGGAGCTTCGGAGGGCAGGTTGGGACAGCAGCCCATCAAGTCCCGCCCACTAATGATAATGGACAAGCCTTCAGACCAGTCATAACGTGCTGACCGCCCTGAGGCGGGCCAGCCGGGCAAAGTGAGCGGAGCGCCTCTGAAGTGGGAGGAGGCGTGTGGGGGAAAAGCCTCTTGGAGAGATGGGGTGGGTCCTGAGGGAGATGGACAGCCGTATCAACCAACCGAAGACGAAATCTGTTCCCGTTAGCGCCGGATCCCCACGGGTAGGGCGGGGTGGGAGGCGCCGCGGGGATCCCGGGGCTGCCGAGGGCCCCTGACTCTTCACTCTGGAAACATGGACCGGATGGCTAGCTCCATGAAGCAGGTACCCAACCCGCTGCCCAAAGTATTGAGCCGGCGTGGGGTTGGTGCTGGGATGGAGGCTGCAGAGCGCGAGAGCTTCGAGCGGACTCAGGTGAGGATTGAGAACCCTGGGGCACCTGGAGTGGTGCAGGGTGCTGGAAAGGCTTGGAAGGGAGTGAGGGTCTTGCAGACCTGGAAGGGGATTAGGCAAGGTGGCCGCAATCGGAATCATCTTGGAGTGCGGACCTAGGCAGGTCCCAGGGAGGTCAGGGACCTGGGCATCCCTACTGGCCTGGGGGGATGAACTCTGAAGAGCTGCAGTTCCCTGAGGCTGAGCGGGCAGACCTGTGAGCCTCATCAGAGCTCACAAGGGAGGCCAAAGGAAGACGCGTGGAAAGGGGACTGATAAAAGGGGTTCCCCTGGGTTGGAGAAGCACTTGAGAGACACTTGGTTTTTGCAAGTGTGGGGACGCTGGCCTGGGGGTGTGAAGGGTGTTCTTGATTGCTTCATGCTTGTATTGACTTCTCCCTCAGCTCCTCAGCATCCTGTTCAGCGGTGCTCTAACTTGGCTCTCAGCAGTCCCAGCTGTTGGTCTCAGAGGCCGATCCGAAGGGGTCTGAGTGATGAGAAGGAATGTAGGAAATGTGAAGTGTGGCTCAACTTGGAAAATGAGCCGGGAGACTGGAGGAATGGGGGTCTGCAGTCTGGGACAGGAATAGAGGTGCTTGAACTGTCAGACCCTTGCGTGTGGGGAATAAGCTGTCCACTGAGACCCAGAATCCTCCAAAATATGCCTCACTGCTAATAAGCAGAACTCCTTATTTGTCTGGTCTGACTAGGGCTGGTGGCCAAAATTCCACCGTGGTTATCAACAAAACCACTATCCGCTTTTACTTCGAGCTTTTATGCTTGCTGTATTGATTGGACTGAGTCAAGCTGTGAGGCGTGGGGCATTCATCAGTTCATCTGTATGTAAAATTCATTTCCGAGAATACAAACCCTTAGGGCCCCACTGCAGAACTGCGCTCGTAGATTCCTTACTCTGGCTCTCAGAGTTCCACTTTGAAGGTCTGGTTGACTTCTGCCAAAGGCTTGTCCCCTGTTGTGTTCGACGAGTAGGAAAGATGGAAAAGATAGGGAGGGCCCGTGTGTTCTATAAATGGACTATGCAAGGAAGAAAGCCATTTTACCCCAGGGGACTTTAATCCGCCTCTTGTTTCTGAGACCCTTGGATCCACTATGTGTGTCTGAGGAAAAGTAGGGTAACTGAGTGGAAAGAGAGAGACAGAGAGAGACAGAGGGAGGGAGAGACTGTCATTCACTTGCCTCGCAGGGTTCAACTGGGTTTTGGAGCTTTTCCCTCAGACCTTCTGAACTGACCCCTTTTTTAAAAAAAGAAAATTTGCTTTTAGCCTTGGGTGTTCCTGAAAAAAAAAAAAAGTGTTCGTATTTTCTCCTCCCACCCCTCCTTAAAAAAAAAAAAAAAACTGAAATAAGAAAAGAAACTGGAGTTGTTTTATAGCATCCGTTCCTTTGAGAGCCTCAGACAACTCAAAACTGGAGCAATAAATAGACATAAGAGTTGGAGTTTAGGGCTGGGGGAGCTAGCTCTGGGGTAAAGACCAACTAACATAGTCACCTGAGCTTCATCTCAGGAAGAGAACCAACTTGTCAAAGTTGTCCTCTGACCTCCACACTCACTGTGTACCATGAACACCTCAGACACACATACATACACATACACCAAAAAACACTTGAATTTTTTAAAAAAAGTTTGAACTTAATATGGAGTGATAGAAATTCAAGCATCCCAATGTTTCCACCCACAACTAAAATTTCCCCTAGTTGTCCAGGGAACAGCCAACCAGGAGAGCAGTAAATCAATGTCTCATTTTACCTTCTGTAGAACACTTGCAATTAGCCAGATTTTATGTGTTTTGTGTGCCCATGAGTGTGTGTGTGTGTGTGTGTGTGTGTGTGTGTGTGTGTGTGTGTGTTGAGGCAGACTAGAGCAGAGAGAATTTTTCAGTTGTCGAAACTTTTTTATTTTAAAAATCAGAATCTTACTATGTAGTCCTGGATGTCCTAGAACTGGCTATGTAGACCAGGCTGGCTTTGAACTCTCTTCAGTCTCCCCGCCTTTGTCTTCCTAGTGCTGGGATTACAGGCATGAGCCACCGCTGTCCTCAGTTGTTGAAACTCTTTAGAGCTGGCAGGTAGGGTGAGACACTCCTGCAATCCCAGCACCCAGGAGGCAGAAGCAAGAGGACCCTTGCAAGGCTGAAGCCAGTGTGGTCTAAATAGCAGCTCCCAGGTTAACCGTGGCTGTGCATAGTGAGACCCTATCTCAGAAAAGAATTTCAGTAATCCAAAACCAAAAGCATTGGTATCTTAAGAGCCCAAGAGAATTGGCAATGGCATGATAATAATAATTGTAGCTAATTATTGTGTTCGGGGGCCCTCTAAATACAGTACTTTATTTGCTATCTTTAATCTTCACAAGAGCTGCTGGAGTGGTTATCGGCCCCATTTTGCTCGGAGGAAATTGAAGCCTGCTGAGGTTAAATAGCTTGCTGGGTAACACCGGTGGAAGTGGCCCCCACCTTTAACCATGGCCTTGTGCTACCTCTCAGTCCTGAGCAGGTCAGGAAGTCATCTGAGTTCTGTCCATTTCTTTTGGCTCTGAGACAGGTTCTCTTGTAGTTCACCTGGTCTCACACCAGCAGTGAAGACCAGGAGGCTCTTGAACTCCTGACCCTCCTGCCTCCCCCTCCGGGTGCTAGCATTGCAGGGGTATCCCATCATGGCTGGCCGTATGCACTGCTGGGGTGGAACCCAGAACTTCATGCATGCTAGGCAAGCACTCTACCAACTGAGCCACACCACCAGCCCCTAGGAGACTTTTCAGTTTTGTGGCCAAGCGTAGGCCAATGTGATTTGATGGATGGGGCTGTGGGCCCTCAGGCAAACAATCTAACTTTCCTAACTGTAAAATGAAGATAATACAGGGCTGGGAAGATGGCTTGGTGAGTATTATGCTTGGTATACAAGCCATGAGGACCTGAATTCAGATCCTCAGAACCCACATTAGAACACAACAAAACAAGACAGGTGCAGCTCCTGTTTTAGCCAGATCAGTGGTTGCTGCACAAGCGTGAGCACCTGAGTTGGGTCCCCAGAACCCCTGAAAAGTGAGCGGGCCATGCTAACACACATCTCTAATCCCAGTACTCTTTACAGCAACATGGGAGGAGGAGACAGGAGAATCCCCAAAAACTCATAGGCCAAGGAGCTTGGAGTGTGTCCTGACAAACAACAAGAAATTGTGTCTCAAACAAGGTGGAAATTGACTGGCACCTGAGGCCATTTCATGACCTCCACGTATGTAGTAGCACGGCATGTATGCACACGCTCATACACTGTCACACTCACACACACACACACACACACACACACACACACACACGCACGCACGCACGCGCACACACACACTTGCTGTTCAGCTCCAGGCTGTCCTCGAGTTTGTGGTTCTCTTGCCTCGGCCTCCCAAGTAACTGGGCTAATGGGCTTTATCATCCTGATACGCTAGTATTGTTTTCTTTGTTTTTGAGACAGGGTCTTTTATATAGCCCAGGCTAGCCTGGAACTTACTATGTACCCCAGGATGACCTCAGATTCCTGATCCTCCTGCCTCCACCTCCCTGTGGGTGTGCACTATTCCATTTGGCTTTGGTATTATCTTTGTGAAAGAGGATGCAAGATGTGTATAATTATAAAATATGTGATTACAATTTTTTAATTAAAATTACTTGTGTGTGTGTGTGCGCACATACCTTCTCCCACTCTCCACTCATACACAGGAGGAGGTTAGAGGAGGGCGTCGGACAGGGTCTCTCACCAGAGCTGGGCTGCAAGCCCTAGTCTCCTGTCTCTGCCAAGCACCCCCAGCCTGGGGTGTCAGGTGGATGCAGCCATGCCCAATGTTGTTTAAAACATGGGTGCTTGGGATTCGAACTCCCGCTTTTGCAGTAAGTGTTCTTATCCACGAAGCTTTCTCCCCAGACCAATGCTTTTTTAAAAAATAATTATTTCATGTAGGATCCGAAAAGCAGTTCTTCCCTTCCCCAAACCTACTGTGGCATTGAGGGGGACTTAGCTCCCTGTAGGACGTTGCAAGCACAAGGCCCTTGTTTGGTCTGTGGTACTGAGAAGGGAAAACAAAGAAACAAACAAACGCTGATGTAATGATTCCCAGTTTGGGGAGCACTTTATGAGTGATAATGAATGACTGCAGCCTTCAGAAACTTTGTCAGCTTGTTGTGGTCGTCCAGTGCTGGCTGATGTGTAAGCGAAAGCCAGGAGCTCGGGCTCCCCATGGCAGGCCCAGCCCACCCTGCTGCCCTCCAGTTGGCCATGAGGACATATTTGGAAGGAGTCAAGAGTTATCAATCAGATGAGGAAAATAGCTTTACCTGACTTTATTTACATTTGTTTGTTTATTTTGTGTAAGTATAGGTGTGGGGAGTATTACACATGGAGGAGTTGGTTCTGGCCTCCCACTGCGGGTCCTGGGGATTGAACTCAGCCTGTCAAGCTTGGCAGCAAGCGCCTCCAATTCTAGTTCCTAAGACAGGGTCGCACTGTATAGACTTCTTTGAATATGTGATCCTCCAGCCTCAGCCACTGGAGGGATTAAAGCACCCGTGCTTGGCCCCTGTCTATATTTACTTATGCAGACAAAGACTTTTGTCTGTGGGATGTTTATTCTTTTAACATTACTTTGTGGGGGGCACGTACCATGGAGTGGACACAGAGGTGAGTAAGATCGAGACCAGCCTGGAGGAGCTATGTGTGAGTCAGCAGGGAAGTGGGGCTCTGTTGTGGTCAGAGGACCAAAGTGGCAGACTTTTAAGGGTGTTAAAACCAAAGGCAGGAGGAGGCTGAAGGTGTAGCTCAACCATAGAGCACTGCTCAGGATAACCCAGTGAGGGGCTGGGGGTGTGACTCATGGTATGGGAGGAATACAGTCCATCATGGTGGGAAAGGCATGGCCGCAGAAGCGTGAGGCAGCTTGGTCACATGACATCCACAGTCGGGAAGCAGAGAGAGAT